AAATTTGTATCAGTTAACTGCCTGGGGTGACTAATGCACACATTGCAACAATTGCTTATTTTAAGATTTGAAATGTAAGCCATTTGAACACAAAAATGATGCATTCTGTCAGATGTTAAAATATACTTGTTTAAGGAATAGAAAATGAATTATTTTCCAACTACGCATTTTTCTGTACTCAAGCCCATGTTTAGCAGAGAATAAAAATTTCTTCTCCACTTTATTTGAAATTTTCAAATAGGAGTATTTTAAAATACTGTTCTTCAAATCTACACAAAACCCTCATTTAGAATTCTAGCTAAGTTCATTTCCACTAAAAAATTGATCAAGCTTTTTAATTTTTAATGATACTAAATCCTAGGGCTTAGTATTTCATTAAAGTGTTTCAACAGCAAAAAACCCACATCCCAAAACTATCTTCAGAGTTTGTGTTTTGTTTTTAGGAATCTTCAAGTAAGCTGCAAGCCAATGGCTGTATGGGTTCTGCAGACAAGTGTAACTAGAAGAAAAGAGTCCTAGACAATCAGATGATGCATACATTTCAACTTTGTATACCTTCAAACAATTCCACAGCAGCTATTCACAAGAGTTTAGATAGCTTACATCTGTAAAGACTACAGGACTGCGTGCTTTCCCAGGCCAACATACAGTTTAATTTTTAGATTAGGCTTGCACTAAGGTGATGGCTGGGATTTAAAACATTAACACTGATGAGTAGCTAAGCAACCAGAAACAGAAGAAATGTTTGTTTGAGTTTCAAAAAGAAGCATAGTGGTTTCTCTTCTTCCAACTCTGATTTCTCAAAGCCTTAGCTTTGGGGTTTTTTTGTGTGCTTTTTTTTTTTTTTTTAGAAAAAAAAAAAAAAAAAGTAGGGCTTGCAGAAATAGATTTTTTTGTTGTTGTTGTTTTCCAAAAGAGGGATGGGGAAGATTTTTCCTTATTTATTGTTTGTTGAGTATCGGTGATGAAAAAGATGTTCAGATTTTATTTCTTATATTACTTAACATATTAAGATTACACAAGGGGGAGGTTTTAGCAGTATAATTATGCAATAGTGTTTACATACCAATTCTGGTTTTCCTTTAATGGTTTCCATAACAAGATCATCATTTTCTTTAGAGTAATCACTGGCCGATTTACTTTTGCGTCCCATCTTCGGTTCATTCTCATTTTGGCGCCCCTGAGTGACAGAGAACGTCACTCTTTGCTTATCAGTAAGTGCACTCAAACATTTTTTGTTAAAGAAAGCGCTTAGTTTAAAAAATAAGACACAAACATTTTGAGGGAGGCAGGGATTTTGGTTAATATCAGTTAAAAAAACAGATTTCTGCAAGCCCTATAAAAGATTACAGCATGTTTGAAATGCAGAATTTAAGAGATGAGGAAATATAAACCAACTGCACAGGAACAAATATACAGCATGTTCAGGTAATGGTATTCAATGGCTAGAAAAAGACTTACTGCATTTATTACTTGATTAGACTCTGCTTTTATTTTTGAAAAAAAATTCAACAGTAGTTTCTCACAGAAAGTTAGTTCTTTACTCAAGTTTTATTTTCTTATATACAACACTTAAAAATATGAAGACAAAAATCTGTATGAAATTTCTCTTGGTGTTAAGCCTAAGGACATAGGTTTACCGATTAATCTCACTCTTAAGATACCTTCATGTAGAAACTGAGTTATATTCTCAGCAGGATGCAGAGAGTTATAAATGTTAAGTTCACATGCATCAAGACACTACATACTTCTACATTTAGACATTTGTACACTAAAACCGATCAAATATTATTATTTTATTTGAGCATAATTTGTTGAGACAACACTTGCATCCATAAGATGACCTATCACTCAGTTTCAGGTTTGGCATTTGCATGAGCTAGTTTGGCTCCAATTACCTATGCCTCCTTAAAGTTTTGTACTTACTGTCCTTACAAGGCCCCATTCAAGACCTATAGTTTAAACCAAACTGACCACATCAAATGTCCAAGTAGTTTAGAAAACATTTAGGAAACAGTTTAAGCAAAACATGAACACGTTACATTTTCATACCTTCATTTTTCTGAGCCTGGATTTGTTATCATGACACCAAGCCAAGCAAGTCATAGTCTCTTGTCTTTCCAATGACTCTTCCACTTCTTTAGCAGTCAAAAACATCTCAATATTTACCAAGTCCTTCAAAAACAGAACGGAAAGGAGGTCTTGTTAAATTGTACTGATACTTTACACAGCAATCCACTCTTCAGCAGAACTGGAATACAGAGATACAAGAGACTTTGTTCTAGAGACCTCTGTTTTTTTGGATAGTACTTTAGAAAAAGATGTTACAGGATATTTTAAAGACTGCATTTCCATGCACTGAGATATTCTGATAGTGAGATAGTGTCAATATTTTTCCTACTTACACAACAGAACCAGAAAAAAAAAAGAAAAAGAGTAAGAATAAAGAGTAAACCTAGGAGCTTTGCACAGAAAGTGACCAGATCCCACGACCACTTCAGCACAGTTCACACTTACACACTTTTGGAGCTGCATAAATACATTATGCTGTGACAGTTCCTACTTTGCTGAAGAAAATACACTGTGAGAAACCATAATTCAGTAGACAAACAGAAATCCAGTACTCAAGTATTTGATTAATATGCACTCTAATTTTGAACAAGTTCATTTTTGTGTAGACTTCACAGCAAAATGCTGAAAATTATACAACTGAAATGCTGAATATTACAAATATTACAGTAGCTCTAGTGAACAAAACCACTCTCAGAAATAGATGGCATTTTCAGCTGTTAGAACAGCTGAATATACTTAGTCTTAGAATTTGTACCTCCCTGAGATGAAGATAAAAAATAGAAGCAGCATCAGGCATATCACATTTACATCTCGCATTTCATTAGACAATTTTTCCTTATAAATACAAGAAGTCTAACACTATTGGAAAAGTGGACCAGATCATGGTAGGCTTGTCAGAATTGTTACCTACAAAATGGTAAGCAAGCCCCCTCATTTCTAAATTGCAGCAGAAGTTGCAACTTTTCCCTAAAGCTTTCTCTCTATTAATGGCAGATGACATGCAACTACATTTTATAGATTGTATGACCACCGCAACAAACCCATTATAACATCAAAAGAATACAGGGCCTCACACAGCTCTAGTGTTATCAAAACCAGGTAAGTCAGACTGAGGTCAGTTTATAGAAGTTTATAGAACAAAATTAAGATTGGACTTTCAATTACTCCTCCAGTCCCCTTGAGGATAACAGAAAACCCCCCAAAAACCCAAACAAACAAACAAAGCTTTTTTTTAATCAAAGTGTTGGCAAATGGAGTGAAAGAATTCCAACCTATTCCACAAAAGGTGCTTTTCTTTTTTGCAAGTTTTCCTACAAGAACAGGAGAGTAATCTCCTTGGTAGTCCAAATTTTTTCTGATGATATGCTCAAGTGGAAAAAAATGCGTTATTCCCCTGTGTGTAATAAGATGACCACATAAAAACCTCTTGCCCATATAACTCATCTGTGTAAGTAATTTGACATAAATGCAGCCATATTCATTATCTTGCTTGCATATTTTTCCACACAGCTGCTAAATGGAAAGACAATTCAATTTGACTTAAAAAATAACATCTCCATACATCTCCTCAAGCTTGTTTGAGCTGTGTCCTCTTAATGAATAGCATTTACTTTTCCACCAAATTAAGACAAAAACCATTTCCCTCTACATTAAAAAAGGGCTTGATATGCTAGGCAGACAAAAAAAATCACTGGTTTCATATACTTTGCTAGCTTTTTATAGTTTAAGCTTCATCACAAAACAAATTTTTATTTTTTAAAGAGGCATGAGGGCAACATTTGTTTCATTTCAATGAGCTGGTGAGAGAATCCCAGCTATATGCATTTATCAATCAGGTGTTAGTATAGCAATGCTCAACTGTGAGCAAAAAGATTGTAGTTGCTGCCGAGGCAGACAAAACTCTTAAATAAAAAGAGAATTCCTACATTCCTTTTGAAAATTTAAAATAAAAAGGTTCTATGTGGTACAGAAATGCTAATTAGATTCATGGTTGCCAAAAGAAGTCAAAGCTTGGCAGCTGTCTCTATTAAATAAACAGTATGTATCCAGAAAACAGAGGAGAACATTTTTAATTAAAAGAGTTCCTTTCAGAACTAACAATTACATTTAAATTGCACCAATAAATAGGGTTTTCTTCTCTGCTGACTAGATAGAAAGTTTGGGAACAATATAAAAAAAGCATTAAGAAATCCATTTGTAGG